TGGATTCAATTTGTTTCTTATTGTGGTTGAAATGAATTCTATCACGAATCTATAACGAACTAGTTCGACTTGACGATTATCGGAAGAAGAAAATCTCCATTAGTTACCCAATCTACAAAGCTCTCGGAATATTCACCGATGATATCATCACGAGTCACTTCGGATGCAGTTCGATCCATTCTTTAAACAATTTCACAACCTATGTGCTTATTAATTTTTCATCATATCAATAATAATAATTAAATTTACAATTTATGTTGTGATAAAATTTAATTTAAAAGATTTAATGACAAATTAAATTATAAGACTATTCAGAAAATGAAAGACTTAATAAAATTAATTTTAAAAAATTTAAAATTTAATAAAATTTTATGCACCGAGTGAAAAATTTTCTTCACAAACAAGATTTTAATATTAGTATTTATTTAAAAAGAATAAAAAAAGTTTGGGAAAGAAAAAAATGTTAATTTTATTAAAAAAAAGGTTAATTTTTTATTTTTATAACTAATTTTAAATTTTTGATTTCTTTTTTTAAAAAATATATCATTATTTATAAGAATTAAAAATAAATATATTTTAATTTATTAAAACTATGATCAAATTGAAATAATATATAAATAACATGGACTATTTGTGTAATTATATCATCAAGCTAAGCCTGTTAACTGCTGTTAACAAGCCACGTGTGTTTTCTGTAAAGCATGTTAAAGGCGAGTGACCAATTTATAACAAACGATAACGTTAGTGACTGATTTGTAACTTTTGAAACATCAGTGGTGAAAACGAAAACTTACCCAAACATTAGTGACCATTGGAATAGTTTACCCAGAATTATTCGATGGATATTGTTTACAAAATGTTCAGTATCTAGAGCATGACAAGTCTCGATTACTACCAAGGTTGTGAAAGCTGTTATTCTACAGCAAAAAACAATGGTCTTATTGTAAGATTCATGATGTTGTCCTAATTCGATTACAAGAACATCGCTTTATTTTATTTTTATTCTTTTGTCTATTTGACCAATACCTTTTCGTCCTCTAACAGTGACTGAACATTCTGAAGCATACGATTTTCAAGTTACTGCAAGTAGAAAATGCTCCTCCAAACCACCAAAAGCTCTTTGGAGAAACTTCTCGACGATTCCAACAAACTCGCCGACCTTTTCCTCGTGGGGCAAGTGGCCGCAATTCTTAATTACTTCAAGCTCCGAATGAGGGATGACTCGCGACAGTCTCTCGGCATTCCAAGAAGGAACGATTCGATCGGTGTCACCCGTGACAATCAGAACTAAGTTTCATTGAGACAGTAAAGAGTGAAACCACATTCTGCCTATGCATATCAACAATAAAGCCACATAGCAGACTAAAGAAGTACAAGAATATAGGATCTGCGATACCAGTAGCATTTAGATATTCATTTTTGCTAATCCATTGGCTGATTCACGAATCTTTCACAGGGCGAACATTCTTTCGAGTTCTTAACAGCTAAAACATGGATTTAAAAGAGGCCTTTTCAATTCACCATCTTTCCTGATCTTTCCTATTCAAAGTTTATAATACAGAGCAAGAAATTAGTACCAGGGCAGGAGATTTCGTGCAGTCTTTTTGACAGCGGTGGCTACGTGTCAGACTCGCCTTTCAAAAGAATCGCTGCGGTGAATTCGACAAGAGCCTTATCCCCACCCTTAGTTCTCAGTGGCTGCATAAAAAATCCAGATTTAACCACTACAACTTAAAGGCAACAGAAAATAATAAACACCAGCCATCTAAGCATTCATCCATTAATAATAACAGTATAGAGCTTAGTGTGTATCTCCTTGGTATAGCCATCTATGATGTGTTCATTGACTTGTTTAGAATCATAAAACAATCATAAAACGCCATTCTTACAGCAGCGACACCGAATTTATCAATTATGATCCTTACCTACAAAGATGATAAATAGTTCGCTTTACAGCATACAACATATCAAATCGAAAAAAAGAAAAAACCTATTAAAAACCGCTTTGTTTAAGCAACAAATAGATGAGATAAACATCATGGTTAACACATAATTGCAGGGCAGTATCAGGTTGTTTGGTACTTGTAATTTGATTTGCAAGAATTAACAAAATCCACTTTCATTGGCAAAAGCCTCTAAGCAATTCAAGCAAGGCACATAGCAAAATTTATCCACACACAAAGTCAGTACCAGCATTACACCGAGAGCAGATCGAAGAACAGAAGAAAGTGCTTCTTATACAGAGAGTTGAGCATATTTGCCATCCAAGTCATCATTTGCATTATCGCTTGTGTGACATACTTGATAAATTTGAACAGCCTTTCAAAAACTCAAACCTCGGCTTTGGTAGATTATTTGAGTCTGATCCGTCGCCTTTAGTCTCGACAACCTCATGCTTAGGAATAGAACGAGTGGCAAATTTGCTGGGGCGACAAGGATCAAAGCAGCAACTCGTTCAGGAGCTTCAAAATATGCATCAACAGCTACAAGAGAACCAGCAGAGTGCCTGGTATGCAAAAATAAAAGAGGTATTAGTGGAACTTAGAGACAGAAACAATCTCTCCTGTACAATTTATACTATTAGTACATTTTCTCAAAAGAGACAAGGATCTAAGTTGAAGAAAAGGCTTTTGTATGAATGTATCAATGGAAAACAAGAAAACAAAGACGAGAAAGACACATATGGCATACCCCACCAGAATTGCTTTCTCTGCAACCAAGAAATCATTAAAGTACAAGGTAGCAAGCACAGAAAACGCCATGGAGTAAGGATTCAGAGGTTTCACATCATTAGCTTTGGTCCCAAAAGTGTCAAGTCTTGAAGTTAAGCCGAATGCGGGTCGATCAAAGGCAAGAACTTTGGAGCCTGTGAGGTTAGCCAAACGCTTCATAACTTTGTTCCATGAGAAAACAGAAGCTCCAAAACCGTGTAGAAGAATCATAGGAAGACCAAGCTTTAAGGAAGGTGTCTGTGTCTGTGTCTGGTCTTGGGCATTGGAGTTATCTGAAGAATGCAACTCTGGGTCATGAAGCTTGTGATGAATTTCAACCCCATGAAACTCACAAAAGCAGCTGTCTGGATCAGCTAAGAGTTTTGGATCCAACAGTTCATCTTGGTCAATGCCTGCTATTCTCTTCTTTCTCTCCTTCCTCCCAATATCCACTAATTCTCCTAAGAATTTCAATAGTATGGTTCGAGACTTTACTATACGTTAGATAAACTAAAATAAACTGATTTTGAGGAAACAACAGAACTGCTTAACGACATATTTTAAGAATATCGGTTTGAAGAAGCAGCAGCAGCAGCAAAAAGAGGGAAAAAGGAAGGAAATTAACGCACCTGATGAAGAGTATTCGGCGCCGGCGCCGGAGCCGGATCCAGAGAGAGAAAAGGCATGGGTGACGGTGGTCATAAGAGTTGCACGGCGGCGACTAGAATTGGGATGAAAGGAAACGTTATACGTTTGAAGACTATGGGTGTTTCTGGTGATGGCGATTCCATTCTGTAAATGCTGAAACTGGCACTGATACCGAAACAAGTATCCTCTTGCACTCATAATTGAGGGTATGGGATCAACGATCATGGCAGAAAAAAAAACATGAAATTCGAAGGTGATTTTTTTCAAGATTCAAAAGGTAAAAGCCATTTCCAGCATTGCTTGTCAGAAGTGCAGGATACCAAATCCGGAACAATACTGGTCCATGAGTCCATGCCTAAGAAGTACATCTCATTATTTTGAAAATGTGATTAAATTTATTTTAATATGTTAAAAAAAATTATTATTTTTATATACCTATTATTTAAAAAAAATTAAAATTTTAGACCTCATTTTTTTATTTCTTAATCCGTCGCTTCTTATTAGATTTGAGGATCAAACTTTTACACCACATTGTACCCTTCCATAAAAGTATAAAACATTCACTGCAAACAGTCTATCCTTCTTTATCTTTTGACTGACCAATAATATGATTATGAATTTGTCAAACTATAAATTTCATCGCTCAATTTTGATAAAATTTCTGTTTTAATCATTAAACTCTAAACAATTCGATTTGATAATTGAACTTTTCAAAAAAAAAAATTCCTATCATTCCGCCGTTAATTAACGGCATCTTGATTAGACATTTATTTTTTAAAATATGAGAATACCTCAAAACATTATTATTTTTCAATGAGAAAATACATAGTTTCAAACTCTCTTTAATTTTTGGATAGTATAGCATATTTTTTTAAATTTAAATAAATAAGAAATAAAGAATGAGAAATTAATTATATATCATGATTTTACGTTAATGAATAATATAAATTGAATAATATAATTGTTATCTTCTAATTTATTTTAAATTTATAAGATATCTTATATTTCATTTGTCATTGACGAATCAACCATTACCATCCACTATTTTCGTCTCCAGATTTTAGTGTTGATTATTTCATTATTCAATTATCGTAAACTAACAAACAAAGTGTCGAGAACGGGCGATGAATATGAATATATGTCACGAACGACAAATACGACAGACAAACAAAAGATGTTGTGAATTAGACTTTGTGACTCTTACGGTGAGAGGAAAAGATTTTATAACTATGGTACCGGCATGACATCCGAGACCCTTAAATGCAATTATAAATATGATAAAAGTTTAATATTTAGAGATTATTTTGAGAAATTAGGAATTGTAGAAATTTTTTAGATATTAAGGATTTTAATTCTTATTTTGAGAAAATAAAAGATAATTAAATTTTGTTTTTATATTAAATGTTTAAGAAACATTTAAAATAATAGGATAATAAAATATAAAACATATATTTTAAGTTTCTAAGCTAAAAACTCTAAACACCTAAATGGAAAAAAAAATTAAGCCTAAATTGATTACGGCTCTTCTGATTAAGTAGATACTGGGTCAAATTAAACCCCGTGATTTGTTTGGTTAACTAACCAAGGCCTATGCCCGAGCAAGCACCGCGCGGCTTTCCACTACAGTTTTCCCTATAATTTAAGAACTACGCCTCAAATTACATAATCGACGGTTAAAGAAGAGGAAAAACTTTGAGAAAAAGCCGAAAGCAAGGAAATGGGGAAACAGCCGGTGAAGATGAGGGCGGTGGTATACGCGTTGTCTCCGTTCCAGCAGAAGATAATGAGTGGGCTGTGGAAGGATCTGCCGGGCAAGATCTCCCACAAGGTCTCCGAGAATTGGATCAGCGCTACTCTTCTCCTCGCCCCTCTCGTTGGAACCTACACGTAGTTTCCCTTTCTATTTATATTAACAAAATACTATTATAATATAGTTATTATCCTTTTTAATTAGGGTTTCCTGCATATTTTTCGTTTCCTTTAATTGTGGATCTATCATCTATCTGTTCTGCCTGTTAGAGTTGCTTCTATTTGTTTGATGGATTTTATTGTTGATTTCGCCGTTTTTTCTTTCTTGTATTTGGAATTCAATCGTACCCAATTGCTCTTCATCATGAGGGTGAAACCAGTGTAAAGGATAAACGTCATTTATATCAGAATATTGTTATCAACTTAATGTTATCCCTATATGATTTATTTCCAACGTTGTCGACCTAGTTCATTTGTTTATATAGGTAAAATACTGTCTCTATTCTTGTTAGACTAACATCTTAAATCAGTACACTGTCAAATTTCGAACTTTTGATTTTAGGGTTTTATTGAATGGAGAAGATAGCTACACTCTGTTGCTTGATTTGCTTCTCATTTGGTTTAAACTTTAGACAATAGAAGAGTTAGATTTGAGACGTGTTGAGTTTGTCTAAAGCAGATGAAGTGACACTTGTTTTTGAGACTCAGGAACATGCCCTCTGTATACAGCTTAAGCAGCTTCCATCTAAATAAAATTTAACGGCTTAACATGTTAACTGCCTTCACGTTCTTTGACTGTTGGTTTTCTTCTCAAAGGAACCAGAGTGAAGAAAAAGGAAAAAGAAAAGCAGATTTAACATTGATACATCCGTAGATATGGTGAATTTGAGTGTGACAAAATTGTAAACTCTAACTTCTAGTTCTTGCCACTATATGTTGTAAATGATTATCTAGATTTGAGGTGTTACACTCTTGAAGCATAAGAAAGTAGTTTGTTGTTCTGAGTTCTATTTACATTCATCGTGAACATTTCTGCAAGCATAGAATTACATCTTGTTGTACTTTGTCAGGACTGACTGCTCCCTTCAAATGTCTTATTGTGTAGCGTGGAATGAGTTACCCTTGGTTGTTCAGGGCGACAGTTTTAACATCATCTCTTTGGCATATCTGCATGACATGAGAGTATTTTGTGATCAATGTTAACCTGTGTCGGAATTGGCATACATGCATAGATTTCACATTTTGCTATACACAATCTGAATTATTGATTTCATGTGTCTTCGTAGTCTATTTATGTGTTCTGTGCAACTGGGTGCAGATATGTCCAGAACTTCAAAGAAAAGGAGAAATTGGAACACAGGTATTGAAACCACAAGAAGCCTCAATTTTATGAGAATAACTCTGAGCTTTTTCATTTTAGACCCAACCTTTTGAGGTAGGGTGCAATGGTGACCAGTGTTCTTTGATTGGGATTTGACTAATATCCAACTGTTGAGTCGTGTTTTGTTATTGATATGGAATAAATGAATTTGGATCATTTTCGGTAAAATAAATGCGGATTGTTCTTCAACTGTGTGTATGTGTATCCATCCTGACTACTACTAGTCTCTTTGGTCGGGAGAAAGTTGAATAGAAAGTAATGGAACATTTCTATCTAATGATTGGGCTTAAACCTCAAATCATGTTTTCTATATCGTGTTAATTTTGTAGTAGTTGGAATAACATAGCAACTACGAACTATACTAAAATTGTTTTAATAGAATATATGTTCAGTTTGTAGAAAGCATAATAACAAAGATTAGGCTAATTTCTCCGTTCGGAAGACATATACAAGTTGCAACAACCAACTTGCAAAAGATAAGGCTGCAACTGATGAGAAGGGGGATGTTAATAATCAGGAAAAGAAGGTAGGGCAAGAGCATGTTTAATTCAATGGAAACAAAGAGAGATTCTGAAAAATGGATTGGACGTTGAAGGCATCCATCCATGCAGTAGGTGTTAAGCAACTCATCAGGTAATTATTTAAGCCGTGTTGTCCTTCTTACCAAAATCTATGGGATTATGCATATCAATTGGTTTTCTGTGAAGCTGGTATTGCCTTCGAGATGAACCTTGATTTAATAATTTATATAAATGCTCGATTTTAATCCCACTATTTTTTTTAAAAGAGTTACTTTACAATAAAATTAATATATATAAATAAATTAATCACTATCAACTCACCTAATATCACAAAATTTTATAGGATACAATAATGAGGGGGAAGATTTTTTTTTTAAAAAATACTTTTAAATAGGTAAATGGGTACTTGAGGTATTTAAAAATAATAATGCGTCTCTCGAGTTTTTTTTGTACTCAATGCGACTCAAATTTAGAAAAAGAATCCAATGTAATTCTTTAACCAATGTTTTCAGTCATTGACAATTACGATATTGATGTGACACTTCACAATGTTAATGTAGCGGTCCACGATGCTGACATGGCAGTCCACGGTGACTGATGACGTGGTAGATGGGCTAAATTGATTTTTTTCAAGTTCAAGGGCCAAATTAATATTTTTTAAAAAATCAAGGACTTATTTGATTTTAAAAAACAAAAATATTTTAAATTTAAAATATAAAAAAACCAACAAGTTAAATATACCAGTACCATTAATTATTAGTATTATTTATTAAATAAAATTTGGTTATATTTACTTTTAAAATATTATGATTTAATTTAATTTGTTATTTTATTTTTTATTAAAATATTATTATTTAATTTTAAATTACAAGTGCTTTAGGTACCTTTTTGCCAGTATTTTGTAAAATTAATAAAATATATAAAATTAGTTTAACTTTATACTAATTTAAGTGAATGACACATATATAATTGGAGAAATTAATGAAAATATAACATCTCAGAGATTCTCTTTTATTTGTTGAAGTGAACTAAATAAATAAAAAAATATTTAAAAATGATAAAAATAGGATTATCGAATCACCAAGTGTTCCTATGCCTTAGATAAAGCTAGAACAATCGCATGTCAACTAAAAGAGATCATTGCTGGTATTGAGCGCCACCAAAAATGACAAAACTAACTTTTGTAATTTCAATAAAAAATAATAATTAAATTGAATTGAATTATAATTTTTTAAAACTAAATATAACATATTTTTATTTAATTAATAATACTAATTATTAAGGTACTTTTATATTTAACTTCCTAATATTTTATATTTAAAATTTAAAATATTTGTATTTTTTGAAAAAAATCAAGCCCTTAAACTTAAAAAAAATAATTTAGCCCTCGATCTTGAAAAAACATAATTTAGTGCATTACTCATGTCACCAGTCATGTCACCAGCTATCGTAGACTGTCACGTCATCATTATAACGGTCAACGACAGAAATCGTTGATCAAAGGGATATATTGAGTTCATTCTATAAGTTCGAGGGCCACATTGAGTACAAAAAAAAATTCAAGAACTACATTAATTTTTTAGAAAAAGTAGAAGACCTCGTATACCCTTTTGCCTTTTAAATATACTAATTTATTTTAAATTTTTTTAAGTAAAATCTTCAAAACTAGTAGAATACAACATGTAGAATTTTTAAAAAATTAACAGTAATTATGATCAAGACACTTTAATAACATTAATAAACCCTTACTTTTATATTACGCCTAAAATATATGTTCAATGCAAATTGAGTGGAAGAGTCGCTAAACCCTCTGTTGTAAAGATTAGTTCAGTTTCATAATATTTATAAATGAATAATATTAAAAAAAGAACGTAATATTTTTATATCCACAAATAAAATAAATTAGATTGGATTTGATGATTCTACAATTTATCAAGAGGTTGGTTATTTGTAATCTTGTTGATCTTTCCTGATATGAACCTTTAAATTGAATTTAGATACGTGATTTTGCGTTCGTTAATAGTTTCTCATGACATTCGACTATAATTTATGGTTTCCGACGGCTTTTCAATAGCTTAATTTCTTTTTGTGGTTCATTTACATATGTAGTTAGATTTGTTCGTATCTATTTTTTCTTTGAGTCTTTTGGTTGGATTTTTAACATTTTCCATGTATGATTTTTATATGATCTAAAATAATTAGTTTCAAATTTATAAGAAAATATCCAAATTATATTTTTGATTTACGATAATATTCTTATTTTATTTTGGATATTTTTATTTTTTTAATAATACTGGAGATTACAGTTAAAAAAAGGTAAATCACATCATTTTCATTGAAATTTATTCTCTATCCTATTTTACTCAGAGTACTTTCAATTTTTCTAATTTACTCATTGAATTTTCGAATTCCTCCTATTTTGATCTGAATCATTTTATTATTATTTTTGTATGACATGTCATTTTTTTATTTAATAAAAAATAAGTGTAAATTATACCATTCCCCACTGAACTTTACTCTCTCTCATATTTTACTCATTGTACTTTATTTTTTTCTAATTTACTCACTGAACTTTCAAACTGCTCATATTTTGATTACTCTGTATTATATTATTATTTAATATAAAAATAACTTAAAATAAACAATAAAATAATATTTTATCATTATTAAATTTTAAAAGACTTAAAATAATCACCGCTCACTGTCGACCATCGAAATAAAAAATTATTTTTATATTAAATAATAATAAAAATGTCATGTTATACAAAATTAATAATAAAATAATTCAGAGTGATCAAAACAAAAACAATTTGAAAGTTCAGTGAGTAAATTAGAAAATTGAAAGTACTATGAGTAAAATAGAAAAGAGATTAAAGTTCAGTGAGAAATGATATATTTTACCCTAAAAATAATTTAAAATAAAAAATAATATTTTTATTATTAAATATAAAAAGATTTAAAATAATCACCCTCATAATAAAATTGTTTTATTTCAAATAATAATAAAAATGTTACATCATACGAAAATAATAAAAAATAATTCAGGATAATCAAAACAAGAACATTTCAAAAGTTCAATGAATTGAAAATATAGTGAATAAAATAAGAAAATGAGTAAAATTGAATGAAGTAATGATGAATTTTACCCTAATGAAATTAAAGTTGAAATTTCTCCACCTAGGATTCTTAAGGCCGAAGCCGATCCATTTGCCCATTTGCGGTTACAACTCGGAGACGGTTGTAATCATTTCCAAATGCTAAAAATCAAAATATCTCACCTGCTCCACCATACTTATATTTCCCGCCACTTTTCTATTTAAATTCCAATTTTGAATTCAAATTTATTTTAACGATAATTATTTAAAATAAAATATTTAATGGAGATATCGTTACTTGATTTAGGATATTAAAATTTAAATTCAATAAAATAATAATTTGTAGGCCCACACAAATGGGAATAAATAAATAAATAAATAAGTTTTATTTTATAGTTTGAAATTATTATTATTTTAAAAAAAAAGCAAGAGAAGAAAAGGAAGAGGGAAATTTGAAAGAGAAGGAAGCGGCAATAATGCATAATTAGAAAAGACCCCAAAACTGGTTGTCTTTGTAATTTCAATTGTTGATGAAATTATAGAGGGAAAGCCTTGTTCCCCTCTCCTTGTCCTTTCTCTCCATTTTATCACCAGTTGTTTGTTTATATCCTCTCCAATTACTTCAAAGCTATTCTCCAAGTGTAGTTTCACAACCCTCAATTCCCTTCTTCTTTCATTCTTTCACTAAGGTCTGTGAACATATTTGCCTTTTCGCCTGAATTTATGATCAATTACTACTTGTATGTTGGCATTCATATTCTTGTACTGATTCTCTGCATCAATCTGGTTTTGGATCCATATCTAGTTATTTTAAATCGAATTTTTGTGCTGATCATTTGTTTTTTTCCGTTCTTTCTTTCTAATTTTAGTTTAGAATTCTTTCTATTTCAGTTGCTCTCTTTGGATTTTTTTTTTTGGAACTTGAAATAGAGAATGCTAAAACAAGAACTGGGCATTGGGCAAGTTAGGCAAAAACTTAAGCTTGCAACTTCCATTTTTATCCATAGTGACAGTGGAAAATATTAATATTTTTTTAAAATCTAAAATTAACCATTCTTTACAACTAATTAATTCCTCCTAAATAAGTATATTAAACTATTTCTTTGTGTTGGCATCAACAATAGAATTGATCTGTTACTCTTCTTTTGGAACTTCTTTTCCTTTGTTGTCTTTACAAGTTCATTTTTGGGAAATCTTATACAGCGTTGCTTACATTGTTTGAAGACAGATGGAAGTAAATATGAACAAGGATGATTCGAAGAACATGAAATCGTGTTGGTGGAATAGTCATCTCAATCCAGAGAATTCTGAGTGGCTGGCAGAAAATTCCAAAGGTAAGCACCCTACTTTTGATGTTTTTGCATTTATGGTTAATTATTTAAGCAGCCTAGTTTTGAAATTCTTGATTTTATAGTTAATTATTTTTTCTTCTTGGTTTAAATCTCATATGTTAAGCATATCTTCAATTGGGTTGATTATAAATTCTTGTTGGTGCACTTGATATCCAATTTAACTATAATGTAGTGACCCCATAACTTGTAAATGAT